AAGCTTATTCATTTAACAGTCCCTAGATTGCGGTCCAAATTATGCAGGATTTAGCATGAAGTGCTTGCTGCAGGAAGCTGGTTCAGTGGAGGGAAGGGAACAGTCACTGGAGATGTGTGACCTATATTCAGCAGCTCCAAACACATTTGTTCTGCTCAAGAGCTGCATCAGCTTCGTTTCTCTTTCTCTCCTCTTTTCCCTTCCCTTTGATGCTCCGTCTCTCCCTGCGGCCACTCGCTTCTCTGTCTCTGTCAACCAAGCACTCTCACTGCTGCCGTACCTGTCTCTCTTCCTTCTGGCATGTTTCCAGCTCTGTCTATCCTGTCTAACTATCTCCTGCTTGTTCTCTATGTGTAGGTGTAAGAGGACTGCTCTCCTACTTTAAAAAACACATCAAATATATTTTACAGTGTGTGAATTAAACATCTTCTGGGCAGTTATGGAACTTGGCAATGGACTGATAATGTATATCACGATAAATACTTAACAAAATAGATTAGCCTTATTTTGGTGTAAAAAAGTCCAAGTAGCCAAATATATTAAAGTAAAGTTTGGTACGATATTCATAATTTCTGCTCAGATTACTTTATTGTTCAAAGATTAGCATAACATGAAAAACAACAATCTGAGTGTGACCAAGTGTCAGAAATAAAAGTGATGAGTGGTCGCTTCAGAAGATCACATGATACTCAGCAGTATTTTACAATGAATAATTACATGTACATTAAAATAGGTGATGGTTGCAGAATGTTTAAATAGCAGCATTACTGCTTCAAAGAGTGCATAATATCATACATTAGCGTCACCACGCTTGAATATTTATGTTTTTTTCCCAGATTGCTTCAGTTTTATGGACTAACATACTCCCTTTTCCAGTTTGTACAGTGAAGTCAAGTATTTGTATATAAAACCCCAAATCACAAATCTCATTTAAAAACAAGAAATACAAATTTGAATTAAATTAAACAGAAAACAAATACAATATATTTATATAGGACAGCATATCCCACAATCCTCTCCACCTGAATAACATCTCCCAGCATCCACCAATGCTTGGAGGAGAGACGCTGTTTTCATGGCGCTCTGTTTCCACACTGTTGCCGTGGAGTCTTGTTGCCAGGGTGTTGGTGGGGGTGGGGTTGTGCGACTGTAGTTTAATCCAAGATCAGAGAGAATGTGATAATTAGCAGACTGCTCAAAACTGGCCTCTCAAAGAGGATTTGCACTGTACAAACACACACACACACACACACACACACACACACACACACACACACACACACACACACACACACACACACACACACACACACACACACACACACACACACACACACACACACATAGCACTGCTATCTCCTTCCTGCCTTTATCCATGCTCTGAGCTGGTTTACTTTGGATAAATCATTCATGAGTTTGTTTTGGAATTTAGGACAGGTCAAAAGGTTATCCGTCTAAAGCTCCAGATATTCCAGAATAGCAGTAAAGCAGCCAAATATGATGCACTCATGTTTTAAAACGTGGTGGCACATCTGATGGGTTCTCCGTCTGTGTGTGTGTATATTGTTAGACCAAATATTTGATTGTTCTCAAAGAGATGGAAAGAAAAGATTAAAAAGGTAATTTTAAAGGTAGTTGTTAGTTGTTTAAAAATCAGTCTGCTGATATTTTTTTTTACTGAAAACCATAGTTAGCCATCTTTAACTTTGATGAAAAGATGTGTTTGATTAATAACGTGAAACATTTACATGTTTACCGTTTCCATGTTTTGTTCCCCAGATGTTTTAGTTTTAATGAATGCAGCATTTACTTCATCGGTAATCTCTTGCACTGACAGAGGTGACTCATATAGTAAAGGTGACATGCACACACACGCACGCACGCACGCACGCACGCACGCACGCACGCACACACACACACACACACACACACACACACACACACACACACACACACACACACACACACACACACACACACACTCACCCACCCACTCACATAAACACATGTTGTTGCTCTCCTTCCCGCCGCCATAATCTGCTGAAAGCCTCGCTGTCCTGATTGTATTATCACCTTTTATGGAATATTACTGACACAGTTTGGGTCCCTGACACAGGCCGGGCTGCACTAGAGAAGATCAGAGAGCTTTATCACAGAAATGTTGTGAACATCGTCAAAAAGCAGTGAGCCCCTTTAATGTAAGAGACTCAGAAATTCACCGGCTTTATGGATGATAGTCTCCATGACAGCCAATGCTTCAAACAGGGCTTTTACATAAAAAGGACCTTATTGCCACAAATACCCTGACCTCCACAACATACGTCCAATGGGATACTGCCTCTCAGGATGGTTAAGATTGATGGTTGGGTTTTATTCTATTACATTTGGTACTTTATTCTTGGAAAATATGAGATTCTTTTGTACCATAATCTGACAACTATTAATGTGAATTGTGAATGTGAATATAAACTGCTTAGTATTTTTTATCTACAATGGCCCTTGTACACTTTCATAGAAGACTAAACAATAGTAAAGACGGTATTTTTTATAAGCTTATATACATTTTATTTTTAAAAACAGCAACAAATGTCAAGCTATCACAGGGAAATTGTTTAACATAAATTACAACAATTTCTCAATCCAGGATAGACATTGGCCTGAGTACCCTCCCCTTCTCGCCTGATTAACTCACATTAGCATTTACAACTCCAACAGCCACATCCATTCTCCTGTAAGACATCCATCATTGTTGGGAGAGCAGAGCTTGATAGTTGATTTTGCATTTGGTTTCGGTTTAAAACACATACCTGTTTGCTACATTTTTTGGATACGTTTTGAAACACAGAAAATAATCGGGAAAGAATGGCAGCGGAACTGCACTGAAGATATTTGTTGAATTATTGATGCCTGTTGTGTTTTGTGGGTCTCGGATGTGTCTCGGCTGTTTTAACACTGTGGTAGAGGTAACTGTAGTTAATGAGTTCACAAAAGCAGCCAGACAGAGAGACAGACAGTCAAAGTCATCTCTAAATGCACCTTGACCTTTAGTCTCTCCAGAGATCCTGCTGTGGCCTCCCGCCTCCATGCTGGTCTTTAGGCTCCTTCCTTTAGCTGCTTACTGGTCAGCTGTTTCTGTCATCATTTATTCATCTGTCTGTCAATCTGTGTCTCCCGCACCTCCTTCTACTATAACCTTTCTGTCCCATTTGCTACTTTTTGTGTGTGTTCTTCTATCATCACCATTGTCTGCCATTGTTAGTCGGAAGGTTTCCTTTCCTGTGAATTAGGTTTTTGTCTCGTTCTGTTTGTGTCATTCATGTACATCGTAAATCATAGTCAACTCAAACAAATCCTAGTGTATAACATGGATTGACAGACATTTGGGGTTCCCAGAGGATGTATCTTACTTTGACAAGCCCCTGAGTTTTCCTCTAGAGTTTAAGGTTTACATTTGTGGTCTTGAATTAAATTACTATACAGTTATTGAAGGAATTTCCATTCAATATTTGCCTCAGGACTTTTTTTTTGCCTACATCATTTTTGTTGGCTGTTCCCAATTTAACGATACTCTAAAAAGCGTTAAAAGTAGCACCAGCTAGTGTATTCTGTGTCGTTTCATACAGTTTTTGTCTGCTTTTTTGACTGTGAGATTGTAAGGCTTTGGTCTTTTTTCTGTCGCCTGTCACCTTTGTCTCAGACAGCCCAAAATTGCACAGTTTAAAGGGACCTTTAGTTTTGCTCTCAAATCAATGTGCCCTTCTCTTATTTTCCTTGCCCTTGATTTATTTTATCTTTTCCCATATCAACTGAAACACCAGCATAGATTTTTGAGACAGCATTTACCACTATAGTAGATATACACACATTCAGAGCATTTGCATCTGTATGTGCTGCTTGTGTTTGTGTGTGTTTTTATGTAACAAGGTGTATTGAATGCTCAGTTGTGTGACTGTTGAATGTTCAGTTTGATCTTACAATTGTGTATATGCCTGCAGACATTAATCATATGTTTGGGTTTGTTGGGGCGTGAGTGTCGCTCAGAGGGGGGGGGGGTCCATCATCAGAGGCCCTCTCCAGGGCGATGCCTCAATCAAATGGCACTGGCGTCCATGTGATTGCCCGAGCAGAAACAAGCCCTTTATCTGGCATACACACTCACACACACTCACAGAGACACACATGCATACAGCTGTTCAGGGCTCTAGGCTGAATGCTCTGGAGACTCTCTTTTGTATGTTCAGTAATGAAAGATTATTAGATGGTCAGGATTTTCGGAATAGTCCTTCCACAATAGAATAGATCCTGCCAACCTTAACTCTGCATTGAGTCCTTGATACATGGAGGAAACCTTATAAGAAGCAGTAGAGGTTGATCTTTAAACTCATAAATATAAACTCGAATACTAAATATTTTTGGCTGAATGTATAGATTTCCTTGTTTACTGGTTGTTATGGTAATGCCTACACAATAAGGAAAATACAATTACTGAAATAGGAAGTGATCTTAAAAGAAAAATCTGTCAATCCGAATAGGTTCTTTCCTTTATTGCTTTTTAAAATGTCATGCATTATATGAGTGTTGATGCAGCTTCAAAATGTCTGTATTTGTTCGAACAGAAAAGACAACAAAAAAAGCAAAGAGAATGTGCATTTGGTAATCTATTCAATTTAAAATTGTTATTGTTAGGCAATCCAAATCAGTCCAGTCTATAGTTTGGTTTGAGAGCAATCTGCTAAGAATCAGTAGATTATTAAAAACAATACATTATTTTAATAAAGGTAAGGCCTTCTACAAGACGTGATTATTTTCTTACTTCACCTTAAAATAATGCATTTTAACGTTTTTTTAGAATAGCTGCAGGTTGGCAATAAGTCATTCATCAGATAGCATTATTTGTGCAGAGTGTGTTGGTACTCTTTCATCTCCTGTTGGTCAGAGAGCATAGTGAGAGATAAAAGGTCAGGGGTCATATTTAAGGGTATAGTGACAATTGAGGGTTAATGGAGCTGGGCGAGAAGGTGATGAATGAAGCTGGAGACCTCGGTTTGACAGCAATTTGGTTTGAATTTCATTGTGAGAAACGGTGAGGAGAGGTTTTCCCTATACATCCAGTTTTGCACACACAGAAAGCACTGGAGTTTATTATCATCATGCATGGCCATTCCTGTCTGTCTGGGCCAGTAATAGAAAGGGGGGAGGGGAGGATGAGTGTGATGATGTTGGTAGCTGTAGGTTGTAATGCTGGCAGATCATTAATAACCCCCCGATGCTGCGTTTTCCCCAGAGATAGACACGAGCAACTCAGACAAAGCACATCGACCTGGGAATTAATACCAATTTACCTAAAGAGGAGACAGATAGAGAGTGACAAAAACATGAATTATATTCTTATTTAGGGAACCCATAAGGAGAATTTTATAAGATAAATAAGAGCCTATGCATACTATACCAGTAACAGAGTTTTTTGTGGGGTAATTGTATCAGTTCAAACAGGATGTAGTGAAGTACCCGTGAACTGTGTGTGAGCCTTAGGCCGAGATGGTCATTTGGTCACACCATCACAAACCTTATAATGGCTCTGTGTGCTGGAATCTGACCGGCAGACAAGCTGGAGGTAGGGAGGAAACTGCAGAGAGAGAGAGAAGATCTGGAGGAGGTTAGAGGAGGTATGAGGGGTCTATAAATAGAGAGCTGCTGAGGGGGGCACAACAGGGAAGCTCTTTAATTTTTCAGTTGTTTAAGTGATTCTAGATAATGTATAAAGCTTGTTCACCCAGCGACTGGTGTGAATTGGAATGAAATGGAAAACATTTTTCACAATCTAACTTTGGCTAATTCGCAAAAAAACACAAAATACAGCTAAACCAAAGTATTTCACACATTTTGATTTAATGATAGCGCTAGATAAAAAGTCAGAGGAACACCAAACAGGAACAAGTAGCTCACTGAAGCCTAGAGAAGGCGTCCTTAAATTATTTGTCACTAGTGCACCATAAGCAATAGGTAGACGCTACCATTTACCGATGACCCCTGAACGTCTCATATGCAGGCTCTCATATCAGCCTTCGATAACAAATGGTTACGGTTTGATAGTCTACAAATGCATGTATTCTTCAGAAAACTCAAACGAAAGTAGCGCTATAAACGTGTTTGATTCAAATGATGTCAAAATGAGCAGAGGGAGGCTTTTGGAAAAATCATAGCAGCATCTCGTGTGTGTCACATGCACCGTTATCACAACAAACATCTCTGTCCATGCTTCAAAACAACACCTGAATTGAAGGAGCTGTAGTAATACTGTAAGTTAGCATGGCAAGCTAAAGGTATTATATTTCTGAAGTGTTGTCATGTGCTTTGTGCGTCTTGCTAGCTACAGGCTGAGCTAGAAGGAGTTGTGTATGTTTTCAAAGCTTTGTGGCTCTGCATAACCATCGTTTTGGCTAACTGTGACATTACTTTGTAAATCCACATTGGCTATACTTTCTGTGGTGTCTATAACTTAGATTGTGGTTGTCTGTTAAGTGCTTTTTGTTAATAACTCACGTATGCATTGTATTCGTTTATTCTAAATTCAAGTTATTGATTTGTATTTGTCTGCGTTGTTGTTTAACGCTAAACAATTTAATTAGCAGGACCACCGTGATTTAAAATGATGTTACGTTTGTATTATCCTTAATCTCATTATTTATAGCCTAGTTAGCTATTTAATAAATACATTAGCACTTGCTATCATGTGAGTCATTGTTGGTCAGTAGGTGCATAGTTTGCTGTTCAGAACATAATCACCTTTTCTCCTGTGGTGGTTAAATCAAGTATAGCTGGTGGTCATATAATAGCTTTCCTTATCCTGAATCTCACCACACAGCCTATGTCACCAAAGTTTAAACAGTTCATCCTGAGGAGAGAACCTACCTGCCAAACCATCCATTCATAAACAAGACGTTTTGAAATAAACATGTCAACCTTAGGCCATGGGGAAAGGTTAGGGAATGAAGAAATGACAGGGTCCATCCTCTGGGAACCATGATAGGCTATACACAATGTTAGTGCATTTCAATAGTTGTTGAGTTAATTAAGTCTGGATCAAAATTGGTGAACTAACATACGGAGGTCTCTGTACTGACTTTTTCACACAGCTACAGTTACAACAAAAAAACACACAATTTGTGTTTTTTAGCCTTTGTGGCGTCTTTGTAATTCTTTCAATACACATTATTGTATTTTTATGTGTTTTGTTGATTTTGCAGTAAGACGATAACTCTAATACGTTTAATTTGCTCCCTTGTAAAATGTAATAACCATGTAATAACTCATGAGTTTTAAAGCTACAGCCTCACATGGTTTGGTATGACCAGGAGCTTGTTATGTGCATCTTCATTTCTGTCACTGAGACTATAGTTTATATTTGGCAAAAGCCAGCAGTGTTAAACCTATTTATCTAAAATTCATTCAGACATTCTTCCCCTTAAGCCTTACATTCAGCTAACCAGCAGTGTTTATATATAGTGCACTGTATGTGTGTGTGTGTGAATGACTTGTGACGGGTTAACTCTACAGCCTGGGGCACGACTGATTTTCTATTATCATTATTGGTTGTGTGTCAGATTGATATAGTACAAGGAAAAGACAGAAAGAGATCAAAAGATAGGATAAGTTAAATGAACGAGATGAAAGTGGTCAGGGAATGCTTGAGGCTGAGGGACCATCTGTTGCTAAAACAATTCATTTCCAGACCTCTGCTGCTCAGTTCATTCAAATGCACATCTGGTGTCCCTCAGAGTCTTCTGGTGCTCAATCTTCTTCTCAGGCGTTGGTCAATTTCCAATTTTGTCAGACGAACAGCCCCTAACCCCAAATATATTGAATGTACCATGACATTAAAAAGAGAAAAAGCAGCAAATCTTACAACTTTGTCAGTTATTGAGTTATTTTAAGAAAATAACACATTCCTTTCCTTCTAGCTTCAAGATAGTTTTCCTATTTTGTGGATGTCAAATCTAGACTTGAAATACTTTGACAGATATAGAACAACCCTAATAGGTCATTTATTAATTATGGTAAATTCACATTTCTAAATAATTTGTTCATTGTGATATCATTTACACCAGTTGTTGATGTCTTTCAAGACTTCATGGTATTGCACATTCCAAAACAATTCTGTGTTGCTGCAAAACACTAAATTATACACATTAAAGGGAGAGCATGGGTCCATGTCCTGTCCCTACAGTACTTCAGTAGCTTTATTGACTGCCTCCTCTTCTTCTTCTTCCTCCCTTGTTTCCTTTTTAGTCCCCTCCTCTGTTATGTTCTGCCCCTCTTCAAGGGTTGAAGGTTGGAGGTCAGTGACTTTGTGAAAGAAGGCTTTGTCTGTGTGGAAAGGTCTCGGAGAAGCACACTTCCTCTGACCCTGAGTCACCCCCCTCCAACATATAAATACACACACATGCACACATACAGATGTCAAGCATTGTTGCTTCACCTTACTAGAAAGTCCAGATGTTGCAGCCTTTTTCTATCATTACACACATCTGTTCACCCATGCACACTTAACATACATTCATATGTGACTATACTATGTTAGGGTCAAAGGTCTGAATAAGCTGGAGCAGAAGTAGTTTGGATGGTGTGTTGTTCTTTGGCGGAAAACCTCTACTCCGGTCACCAGGGAGTTCATCACTTTATGTAATAAAATACTACTTTTCCTACTGATATCAATGCTTAACTTCAGTCTTTGTGTTTCTTTGATCCAGGGGGCCCGTGTTTGGGTCAAAGAGAAGGAGCAACTGGTTCCCGCTACAGTCAACTCCTGTGGAGATGGAACACTTGTCCTCACAACCGACTATGCAGAGGTAAGAGCTGCGTACACACACAAAAGAACAGCGACATTACGCTGACCTCCTAAGATAACAGCTTGACTCTTATGTTTAACCTGCAAGACATGTAATGCCTTTGTTGATGATCTGTAATGTGTCAGATTTCCACAAAGTCAAAGATATAGAAAGATTTGAGTTTTACAATCCAATCACTCCACATAGCGTCTCTCCTGCATGGCTATAACAGTGTTGCTAGCCGAAGAGGCAATCCCACCCTACAGGAGGTTTTTTTATATATATATATTACTGTTTGTGGATGCTGCCTTTGAGAAGCCACTGTGTTCTCTCCTTTATGCAGGTTTTAATTAAACTGTGATGATAATATTATTGTTTATCACAACACATAATACATATAAGCAAATTGCAAACACTCTACACATTCAATTAGTTTAAACAGTAAACGGAGCCAGGATTTAATGACTGTTTAGCATAACCTGCAGCATGGTGTAATCTGTCATCTGGACTGTGCATTAGTCTTCAGATGAAGGTCAGAGTGAAGGTGAAGCAGCTGTGCAGGTTCATCCTCTCCTGCTAGGATCAATAGAAACTCCTGGACATGATGCTCCACTTTCCTGCCCCAGTTCTTTCTTCCTCTTCCTCCTCTTTCTCCTCATACATATGCAAGATTTATCTCTGACACACATTCAGCCTCGAGAGGAGAGCTAGAATAGATGAAGAGAATTATGGGAGCACAAATGCACATTTCAGGATGTCAGGAGTGCGTTGCCTTTAGTTGTTCTAAATGGCAAAGCCAGACGGCCGCTCCATCCCTTCAATTCCAAAACCCCTGTCTAAGTAATGTAATTAAATGTTTAAATCTCATTATGAGTGTGTGTTTTCTGTATCAGAGCAAGGACATGCACACGTTGGATTTAATGTTTTTTTGATGGCTGATGTGTTTGGCAAACACGTACAGTACACCCACAAACACACACATGCGCTCCAGTTGGCGCTTGGAGTTTAGATGGAGCTAATAATAGACTTGGTTCTTTGGCCCGAATTCAACAGTCTCAATCCTTCCTTTATACCCTCAAAGAACATCCACATCTAGGCTGTCCTTTATAAATGTACAATGAATTCATGTTGGCCTTTCAAACATAAAATGGCCAAATGATGCTCGAAAAGCATGGTCTTTCTGATAAAGCTGCTTCTCTCTAAGGCACAGACGGGCATTTCCCAAAAAAGAGGATTGGTTATAGAGTAGCAATTCTCTTCGCTCTGGATTATGAATGTCCTTTACCTCCCCCACCCCCACCCAGCTCTCTCCTCCTCGCTCTGCCCCCCCCCCCCTCGCTGCTTGCTGTTGGTGTTTAAATGTTAGCTCTGCAGGAGGTGGTAAATATTTGATAGAGAATCAGCAGGACGGAGGGTATAACTCTGTTACAGGACCTGACCCATGCAAACTGTCCCAGGCTCTCCATCACTCCCTGGTGCTCTTTTCCTGCTTCCCATGATCATAAATACATCTCTAAATCCAATGTCCAAGGAGCAGCCCTCGAGGCATTTTAATACTCGCTGCAATGGTGGCTGGTGAAACAAGGAACTTTGCAAACTGTAACAGGATGTGGCTGGTTTTACTTTCTCTTTACTTTCTCATATTCTTCATCCAGCTGCCATGTCTCTCTGGTTCTGTATCTACAGGCCCTGACCCAGTTCACTTCATTACCATTTCTGGGTTACAAATGCTGTGGCTGCACAACTAAAAGCCTTCATGTCAAATCAGCACAACTTGAACTACCAGGGGTATACTGTATGTGCGAGCATTTACATCATTCATAGTCATGTTTTACTCTCAGTGAATTTGCATGAAACAGACAATATCATAAAAAAAGATGTTCTGTAGATGTTATGCTGGCAGGCTATTGTTTTATTTCTTCTCATGACAGGCGTTTGTACCTACATACAAATTGATCTTTCGATATTTTGAACAGTAATTGTTTACTCTAGAAGCTATTCCAGTCTCATTTATTGTGTGACCCACACTCACCACACACTCTTCTTTTTTTTGTATGTAAAGATGTGAGAACTTCTTTTGCAAAGGTAGACTTCCAGGGGATATAATTGACAGATGTCTGAATCACTTCTACTTTTCCATTAATGTGAAGGAGCTGCATTTCTACTCAGAAAACACACATTTCCATCATTTCAATCTTTCTCCTGTGCAGGAAGAAGGATTTAATTTGTGGCTAGGAAGGTAAATAAATCAGTAAAACATAAACTAAATCTTATTGGATCAGCAAACCACCGGATCATTCATAAATATTTCATTCATGATCCAAGGCTTTCTCTTTCCCTTTTAACTCTGTATAGCGTACTGCATTGAGAATGTGATTAGATTACTTCAGATTAGAGCAAACGTTTGTTAACCTGTGGTAAAACTATGTCAGCAAAGCACTTGATATAGATAAATATAGAACAAAAAGAGGTTATTAAGATACTTTAAATATGAAAACATAGAAACTACAGGTAGCGCACTGTTATCAAAATCCAAAAGAGCTCCTACTGGCTTTCCTTTTATTCTCATAATCACTTTAAAAGCTTCACTATTTTCACACTAGCCTGTTTGTTGGAAAAAACTAATCACCAGATTAATCATTATTAAAAACCAACAACCCTAGATGATGTTTATATCCCCAGCTTTGTAATTAAAACCAGACACATTTAGGCAACTCTGTGCCTGACGGAGATCTCCCTGGTTGCCATGGATACAGCACCCTCTTCCTTATATTGGCTATAATTATGACGTCTCCATGTACATCTCATTTACACCCACACAGGAATGTGTTACACATGGGGAATAATGTAAATATACAGAAGTCAGCACACACCTGCTTCCCTGCACTTAGACAACACACACACACACACACACACACACACACACACACACACACACACACACACACACACACACACACACACACACACACACACACACACACACACACACACACACACACACACGTATACACACACAGGTTACGTTAGCCATGAGTTATGGACAGTGTGTGTTATGTGACCTGGATTTCAGTAGCTAGCGTGAAAGGGGTAGCGAAAGCTCACGCGAGCACTGAACATGCTGCAGGGATGCCTTACTCCTTCTGCAAACACACAATTGCTTTAGACTTGGACACACACACAAAAAACACTCTGTTAAATGACCTGAATGGAAAGTGCAGCAATTACGTGTTTTGTAACATTTGGCTCATAAACAGGCGGATGTTGCTGTGTGATCTCCTGACCCACATTCCTCTATTTCTAATCCTCTGAGGACCTGATAGTTACTCACTCGCTTAGTATCAAATAATGAGATTAACTTTGGGACACACACACACACATGCAACCACCCCTATCTCTCTCTCTTGCCTCACCTTCACCGTCTCTCTGCAGTGTCCCTGTATCTGTGGGAAATGAAGCAGAGATCCCCTTTGGGGCAGGATGAGTGTGGGATGTTGAATCTTGAAGGAGAATGACATATGAAGGATGTTATACACACAAGTGCTAAATGGATGCTGTGGGGCAGAGAAGGCATTGGAGTAAAAAGAGTTAAAGCATGTGACTAACCTTTTTTCTCCCTAAAATGTACCAAGATCGGGGGTAGAAGAAACGACAGGTCACTTGATTTTGGTGTAAATTTGACAATGCACTTAAGAAGAAACAATCAGGCTTTGTTCTATCATGTGTTCATAATTAACTACATAAAGCAAAGCACTATCATTTGTATATAAACCACGTTATTGTGAGCCAGGATGTGCATGGCGTCCCGTAAGGAAGTCGGTGATGTAGTACAAAATGAAACAAAGTCCACGTAGGGACAGGGTTGGGTATGATCACCAGGACCCAGGAGATAGATGTCAGTGTCCCGTGTGAAACCAAAAGTCAAAAGAGCTTTCTAAAATACTTTGGTTTAAAGATACAAGTGACTTGGCCAGCACTTCTGGCTGCAGCTGCCCTATTTGCTTGTAATATACTCTGATCTGAGCGGTCAGATTATATAAAAATACATCATCAGTGTTCCCCAATCCTAATCTGACCCAATGAGGTCTGCCAGCTCTGATCCAAGGTCAGTGAGGGAAGCTGCAGGTGCATAGAGAACTGTGTGATACTGTATTTTACACTGAATAGACGTCTGCAGAATATATAGGTCACTGTGCCCACAGCTCTCTCTCTCTCTCTGTCTCCATGCTCTATCTGTATCTCTCTCCTCCTCACTCTGGCTGCTGCTAATATGTGAAGTCAGATGAAGAGGCTTGTATCCTCTGGCTCCCCTCCTGAATCATGCAAAGCAGCTTCAGATATCAGAGGGCTTTACAGCAAGGCCGCTCTATGCATTCTATGTGTGTGTGTGTGTGTGAAAGTCCGTTCACACGGGCAAAGTGGGGTTAAGAATGCAGGTATTTTCCTGCAAAAGAGAAGCAACCGAAATATGTAAAAGGGAAGAAGCTGTGTGACATATTCACATAATGTTGTCAGCAAATCTCATGAAAAGAAAGTATGGCCATTCTGTGTATTTCTCTGTCCGAGATTCTAAATTCTGTGCCAATCCATGCCAATACTTGTAGAGAAAATTCACTGGATATGTGAAAACTTCAAATCTGCTGGTGCTACTTGAGGAAGTGAGAAGAAGTATCAAGGGACACCAAATATTCTTCTTCTGGAGACCATGAATGTCTTTACAATTGTTCATGCAATTTTTTACATCATTCTGAAGTAAGTTAGTTTCTCCTGTTTAAGCAATTCTCTTTAAAACTACATTACTCAGCCAACAATATTAGTAATCTTTTAAAAAACATGTTCAATAACATATTGGCTTGGGGTGGAGTGGCATGCAAAGGGTAGATAACTCAATGAAATGTGTCTCTTTATTTGGTTTATTTGTGACAAAGGAAAATCCAGAAATACCACATCCTTTAAGGAATTTCCTCTCCCGCACTTCATGTCACTGAGAGATGTAGAAGAGAAAATCAGAGTTGTTTGCT